TTTCAATTTTTTACTATAATATTCTATAAATAATCATATGTAGTATAAGAGTAATGTGTGTCTAGCACGATCATAAATTATTAAAAAGAATTCTTTAAAGAATCAATGTACAAAAGGCATGTATCATATACACTTAAGTAGTAAATATATTTATGTATATTATACTTATATATATATATATATATATATATATATATATATATACATGCATTTTATTGTACATCCGCCGTTTGTCATGATTTTGAACAGATGATTTTTATTATAATGTTTGAGAACAATAGTAAGAAATATTTTGTTATCTCTTCGTTGTTAAAATTTATAGCTGTTTTGAATTTTTCGAAAAGAACAAGATGATGAAATAATGGCAATAAATAAAAGATCGATTATGAAAATTCTGTATACAGGAAATTATAAATTTATATATACATGTACAAAATAAATATATTCCGTTCTCTTTCCTTCTTCTACTATTTTAATATTTTAATTTTATTAATTGGAAGATGTAAGAATAATTCGAAATATTATGCAAGATTTAATTCTTCAATTATTATATTTCTAGATTGAAGCATTGAGATGCTAGCAAAATTTAAAATAACAAGAACATAAAATAGAATTGACAAGAGTTAGAGACGACAAATCGAAATTTTATTTAATTGATTCGCAATAATTGAGAGAGAGAGAGAAAAAAAGGCAAATATTAGGAATGAGTACTGAATAAATGCTTTATTGGTAAGTCATAATTGCTATCCATTATGTCAAAAATTTGACAATCATCTCAAAACATTATGTCAACGGCTTGGCATATTACAGTAGAATTTTAATCACCACTTATGTGTATATATTTACCTTTCAAATAAAAAAATATTTAATATATTAAAATTTATGACGTTTGCGTTATGACACTAATGACAGACAAGCGTTTGATTACTTAAACATCTCATAATTAAAAATTGCTTGCAAATATTTTCATAATTTATTATGAAATTATTTTATAGTTAATAAATCATTTTCATAGCAAAAAAAAATAATGGTACAAAAAATTACTTATTAAACTAAATTTTAAAAATCATTAGGTCATCGCCCATCACACAAGTAATTAAGCATGAAAATCATTTTTTAAAAAGATAATCGAGTATAATAATCCGATAATAGGACTTTATAAATTATTGACCATTAAACCCTTAAGTAAAAATGAAAGAAGTAAACAATAAAACGAGTTGCTGCTTTCGAATTTGCTGTTTATGAGTAACAGCACCGAGAATAAATAGAGCAAGTCTTAAAAGATTTTCAAAATATTCAATAGCTTTTAAAAGAACAAGTTTAGAAGAAAAAATAAATTTTTTTTTCTCAGTGTTTTTATTTAAACTTTAAAGTTAAATATTTTGACATCTAATATAACAAAAATTTTTGACACCTTAAGAATTTTAAGAAAACTCTTTGTTTTTTTTTTGTGCTAAAAATATTAATAAAAACAAAAAAAAAATTAAAAAAAAAAACTTGATTTGACAAGTCAATAAAAACTTGACACTTCTTGTATATACAAAGAAGTGTCAAGTTTTTATTGACTTGTACACGATATACAAACCAGGTGTTATTATTTTTTCCTCCTCTCTTAGTGTTTATATAAATAGAGAGAAGTGATTATTATTATTTAAAATAATTGATATGGGCTGTCACTCATTATGATATTGCAAATTCACGCAAAATTTAATACCGAAAAAAAAAAGAAACAAAGTATGACAAGTGACCTACCATTCAAGTTTAATTTTTTTTTTCTTTTTGTTTTCCTACATACAACAAAATTCGGTATAATATGATGACTCAAAAATTAAAACAAGAATTAATAACAATGAAATTTATCACACTATAATCATACCATCAATCAAATTATACAGCTATCTATGTACGAACATACAACTTTACTATTGTTTTTGAACTTTTTTTTAAAAAACCCATAAAATATTTTGCTTTTAGTCAATTATTTTAAAGCATTAATTTGAAAAATCTACCATCATCATTTTGCAAAAAAAAACAAATTTTAAAATTCGCAATATTTTTACCTTTAAAATGTTTCACACCTTGAAAAAAAAATAATTCACCAAAAATTTATTCACAAGTCCTTCATATTTTTATGTGTTTTTTTTTTCTCTGTGTTTTTGAAATTTCAAATTTGCATGCATTAGTAAAAACGTTATAAAAACTAAAAAAAAAATGCAAAAGAGAAAAAATAAAAAAAACTAGCAGGTAGATTAATTGAGTGAAAAATTTTTTTTTGTAAAAGAATAAACAGTTGAAAAATTTTTTTATTCTTATTTTAATTGTGATGTAATTTTTGCAAGAATAATGATGTCATCCTGAAATCACCGTCATGTCATTTCAGATTCAGTCTGACAATTAAGATTTTTTGAATTCTCATAAAAGAAATAATTTATGTTTTAAATAAAATGTTGAACAAAGGCTCATTATAGGTCATAATTTAATTGAGCATTTTACTATAAAAATTCTATTAATTTCAAAATTCGAATTGGTGCAATCTATGAATTTATACTCTGTCCTACCCAAATAAAGGGTAGGCGGATAGCAGATTTATTAGGAGGGATTAAGAAATCCGAAACAGAAGAAAAAAACAAAAAATTCTTAGTCTAAATGTCTTAATTTACTAGCAGGGCGTGTAAAATTTATTAAAACAATTCTGTTCCAGTCGACTCCATTAGTAATTAGCGTACCTTATATAAAATGAATCCAATTCCAAAAATTAATATTAAATTTTTGCAAAAGAAACGATGAATAAGAAAAATAATTCAAACCCAACTATATTAATCATTAATATCAACAACACTGTTCCTAAGTTTCCATCTTAAGTCTTTTGATCCTAATAAAAGATTCAAACCTTAATAAATCTTCTTTTAAATGACTTCTGATTAAATTTATTATAGCAAATTGTGGAATTACATTCTTCTGCTCAATTTACATTTTATTCATTGTAACTAAATGTGTGTAAATTCGAAACGTGTGATCTATAAAAATTCTCATTATGAAAACAAATAAAACTTTGCCTCAAAATTCTCTTCAAATATTTAAATTAAAATTAACATTGACTCGATATTATTGTACATACCTAAATAATGCCTAATAATAATCACAATGTATTTTCATTAACCTTTTCTTTTTTTTATTTATCAAATTAAAATTAATGATTTACTCATAAAATTCAACAAAAATTGAATTTAACCTTGAATTTTTATATTATAGCAAAATAACTGTCTTAAAATCAAAAGCAGAAAAGAAAAACAAATACCTCGCGGATTTAAATTATGAATTTTTTGTACAATGATTTTGCCAAGCCCCAAATAAAATAAATATGTAAACAATTTCAAGAAAAAATTTTTATCGTAAATATTAGAAAAAGCGTAGAAAAAATTTTTTTTTGTTTTTCTTTTTGATTACCGTTTTCTATTTCTTAATTAACATTTATCGTTTTTTTTCTCTCTCTCTCTCCTTTTTCTTTCTTATTTTATTGTAATTGTCATTGAATTACAATCAATTTTTAATAATAAAGAAATTAAGTTGAATAAATCATATGAAGCAATTTGTCAAAAATAAAATGATTTTTTACTAAAATCAAAAATTTTGCTTTGTTATTTAAATTCCACCCCTGTGCATGATTTTATTGCGAATCAAAAAATTATTTACTTTTAGAAATCTTAAAAAAAAAAACAACAACAACAAAAATGGAATTTCGATTCACTAGCCAAAAAATATTTTTTTTTTTTGAATAAATAAAAAAAATTCAAAAAATTTGAAATAATTAAAAGTTTACGATAAGTCTACAATATGAAAATATTGAGATTTTTACGTTTTTTACGTTTCAAATGAAAATATTAAATTTTTTACATTTTACGTAAACAATATTTAGTTGTTTACGTTTTATATGAAAAATATTTGGTTGTTTACGTTTTATACAAAAAACATTGAGTTTTCTAATGTTACAAATTATAATTGAAAAATATTGAATCTTTTACGTTCTTTGAAGAGTTCTCTCATTTAAAACTCTCACTCTTATTGAAACAGACATTAAAACAATAAATATTTAAAAATAAATTAATAGTTCCTTACAAACAAGAAAATAAAATATTTATAATATTCTATATCGTATGTAACACTGTATCGTATCTAATCGTATGTAATACAAATATCGTAAATTCATGCAAAATAACGTAACTTTACACTTAGTTGGGGCTAATTTATATTAGTGCAACTATTATTATTTATTTACGAGGTGTTGTATACCATTTGCAATTCAAACAAATTATTGTTGTTGGCAAAGCTCATGTGCAGTCATAAAATTTTGTATAATTAATTTTGTTATCTCTTTGTTCTCAAATTTGCAGAACAAATATGAATTTTACTCTTTAATATTTAATTATCTTTAAAGTAATTCACAATAATTAAATGAATCAGCTAAGTACAAAGTATTATTAATTTTAACTGGCATTGTTTATTAAAAAAATCATGGGAACAATTTTGTCAATGATTCAGAAGGAAATTTACGTTATAACTATAAAAAGTTACTGAGTACAAAAACCTATATTTATTTTATAGCTTCAAGGCATAAATAAATTCTAGTTACAAAACAATGTATAGGAGAAAATAATAAAAACAAAACAACAAACAAAAAATAAATTAATATTCTATTAAAAAATTCTTAAATTGAATGCTTATTTTTTTTTTTAATAATTTTTAAATTTAAAAGCAAAAAATTAAATATTAAATATAATTTAAATTGCAGCCATAACAGCATTATTTTTCTCTTTTATACACTTAAAGAGTTTTAATTGCCTTTTATAATAAAGAGCCAGAGAAAAAACACAGCAATTAAAAAAAAAAAGTACAAAACAGCGGCATTCCACATTTTTTCTTTTGTCTTTGTGTGGGAGGAAATTTTTGGCGACACACAAAAAAATCAAAATCGACTTACATATCATTTTTATTTTACTTACATAATATATCCCAATTTTCAACAAAATATTGCCATATTGACATTGTACCTTTAAATTGTGTTAGAGCATCTTCATAACCACTTGATTCATGATTATTACTATCAACAATTGAATAATTTTGTTTTATACGTTTTGCTTGTGGACTATCATAACGATCCATACTATTACGATCATTATTATTAATATAAGTGCCACCACTACTACTACCACCGCCGCCGCCGCCGCCACTACCACTACCACCCGGACTAATTGATATTCTTTGATGACTACTTGAACGTCCCTTTGTTGGTGTTGAACCAGGTTCATATAAAACTTCACGTGGATCAAAACCCAAACGATCTTTATAATATGATTGGGTAGTCATTTTGTTTTTTTTTTTTTAATTTTTAAATTTTTGTTCTAATACTTTTTTTTTTGTTTCACTTTTTTTTTATGATTACTTTTTATTTTTAATAACTTTATTTAATTAATTTTTGTTCAATTAATTAATTTAAAATTTTAAAAATTTATCGAACAGCATTAGAACGAGGCACAATAATTTTTATAAAATTTTTTATACTAAAAAAAAAAAAATTTACGATAAACAATTTTTTTTATCGTAAATTCTCGTTTCACATGAATTAAATTAACAAAATAATTAAACAAAAGAATATTTTGGAATAAACGAATTTCTTTCTCTTCGTTTAATTCTCTCTTTTATAAATTTTCTATTTTACTTAATTTGATAGTAGCTCTGGCACTTAATTTTCCGATCACTTTTTTTTTTTGTTATAAATTTTATTGCAGTCACAATAAAAATAAAAAAAAACTTGAGTTTTATTTTTCTCTTAATTTTTTTCTTTGTTGCTCTCTCCCTTCTTATTTTTCTTTTTTATTATTATTATTTATGTATCGTTTATAATACACATAATATTTTTTTTTCTCTTTTATTTTTAATTTCTGTAAAAATTTTCTATTATTTTTTCTTACTCAGCTTTGTTTAGCTCTTTTATTTTTAAGTTGTAAATTATTTATTATTTTTTCTTCGTTATTAAAATGGCACTTTCTTTAAATATAAAAAAAATATTAAATTAAAATAAATATTTAGAAAAAAAAATAAATTTTTAATTATTAAGGTATTTTAACTCTGAAAATATTATCGAGAATAACTGAGAATATTAAATTCACTCAAAAATTTATTAATTTTATTAAATTCCTCTCTTTTATTTTACTCTAATAATTATTATGATTTTTTTTTATTCTTGTTGCTAGTTCGTTCGAGCTTGATTAGTGTTCTCTTCTTCTAATGTCGTATAATTTTTTTCATTATTTTACTTTTTATTTTCATATTTCGAATGAGTCTCTCATAAATTTCTCCAAATTAATTTTTTTTATCGTATTTGCTCAGTAAATTAATTAATTATTCTCTTCTGTTATTATGCTGATTTTATTATTTATTATTATTTTTTTTATGTTCTCTTGATTTTTTTCATTTGAATTTTACAATTTAACTAAAAACTTTCAAGTGTGTTTTTAATGAAAATTCCGATATTGATTTTAAATAAATAACATTATAAGTATTTGATTTTATAACTATAAAAATAAAATTTAAATAATAATATGTATTTAATTTTGAATTCAAATTTATTTGTTATATTGTAAAATTAATTTTATTATAAAAGTTTTTGTAATTTATTATTTCAGAAAAAAAAAAATTGTTATTGTGAACATTTATTAAATTTAAAAACAATATGCATAGAGTTGATTTTGGATCATATATCAATAATAACGTAATTTGTTACGTTACGTAACACTCAACACAATATACGATAAAATCAACTTTACATGCATTAAAGTACTTTTGTAATTCAATAACCAATTAGCATAATATTATTATTTTGCAGATTTACATATATAACATGGCACTAGTACATAAATATGCATAAAGTACTACGTACATTCATGCATACATTCAACAAAAGCATATTAATTAAGAATAAAATTATATTGTAGCTATTTAATAAATTTTTATATTCGATAATAAAATTTATCCCGCATATTTACTTATTAAATATTTTAAACAATGTAATAAGGTTAATTAAACAGTCGTGATTATTTTTTTTAATTAATTTTATATCACAATTTTGTTGTTAGAATTTTATAATATTAAATTTTCTATTCCTATATCGTATATCATATGTATACGTATATATATATAATTCTATAAAGTTTTAATTATTCAAAGTAAATTCATAATTTAATTAGTTAAATTTAAATCTTCAAGAATTTTAATGTATAACAAATATTTTTAATTTAAAAATTTTATAAAAATCTTTTATACAAACAATTAAATTTTATACAATTTTATACAAAGTGACGTAAAAACGCAAAATGACCCAATTTTTTGCAAACATAATTTGTGTAAACGTACTGAGAAAACTGAGAAGCAAGTTACAAAGAAAATTGAGAAAGATGTCTTCGATGACAGAAAAACAACTAACAACATGAATAATTTCTCATAACTGTACTATATTTTTACATTTCACTTCTCAGAGTAAACATTGTGTCAAATGTCAATAATTAACTAAAATATTTGGAATTTTATTTGAGAAATTATTTCACATAACCAAAAAAATCGGCATATATTAATTACCTCTAAGAATCTATGTTGACTCAAATAAATATTCATGACCTACATTTTAAGAAAAACGAAAAAACATAAACAAAATAGAAAAAAAAAACTTCTCTTTTAAAAATTTCTACAGGTTTCCATCAACCTATAAATAAATTTACTCTTTTTTTTTTTATAATTAATTTGTCACACTTCATAGAACACATTCTTTTCACATAGAGTAAATGTACTCAATAAATTTAGAATTGGCCGCACACAGTAAGTAAGTAAATCAAAAAAAAAAAATTATTTCAAAACAAAAACGCCAACTCAAATCACCTGTTGCCGTCATCAATTACCCATTGAGTACTTTTAACCCTTTCTTTCCTTTGTTAGGAGTTTAAGAGATAAAATTGTTGTGCGCTCTGAATGTAAATGTAAATACTGCTATAGGTACACACTTAGTTCCAAAGAAGAGCTCCAAACCCAAAAAGACCGTCACCGAACTATACATAAATACTATCGATTCTTGAATTCTTTGAACTATTATATTATAATTCGGGAATGAAAGGGTTAATACTAATTTTTGGAATTTTAAAATGACTTTAAATCACTATTTAGAATGAAATTGAGTATACGTACTTTAATATTTATGTATATATAATAATGGTATGTACCAATATTGACGTACCTATTATTGTTCCTTATGAAATTTTTAAAACTTGTACATTAAATATCAAAGTACGCAGCGGCATTTGTGACCAACCCAATTAATTTCATCATAAACTATATAAGTGCCTAAAGTAAATGCGGTACAAACATTATTTTTTCCAACTCTTTTTTCTGGCAATGGACCAAACACAACAAAAAGAAAAATCCAATAAATAAATACAATAAAAAAAAAAACAAATAAAATCATGAAAAAAAATTAAACATTTTTAAATTCCTGACCTCACCTTACGGTCATCGATTTTTATATATGTGTGTATGTACATACATAAGTACACAATAAATCGATTTTTGTTTAATTTCCTAAAAGTAAATACCTACAAAATTCCAATCGATAAAAAGAGATGCCATTTTTTTGGTTTTCTGTTATATTTTCGATATTTTGTTATACAACAATATATTATATAGGGTACAGTAATTTTGTATGACAAATAAAATCGAAGCGAGAGAGGAGAAAAATAGGAAATCGATTTTCAACAGTCTTTTTTTTTTCGTTTCGTTTTCTTTTGTTATTGTTACTCTGTTGTTATTTAATTTTAAATTAAATTTTATTGACACGCGATAGTACCTTACGGCTACACTACATACTACATTATAAAATATAAGAGTGTTATAAATAAAGTAAAATAATTTTAGAAATTGAGTGATTTATTGAGTGCATACAAAATTCAAGTACAAATGATTAACTTTTTTTTTTTTTTTGCTTTGAGTGACCTACTAAAGTTTATTTTTTTTTTTTTGGGAAAATTAATTGTAATTTTTGATTAATGGTAAATCAATAACAAAACAATTTTTTTTTTTTTTTTCTTACAGATTTTTATATTTATATAGAATAGAGAGTGGAAAACTAGTAAAAAGAGAAATTTTCTATTGCTCAGTTCTATTGCTTTTATTACAAAATTATTTCGAATTTTTTTGTGCATTTGATCAGGAATGCATTTTGACTCTCGTAGTTTTCAATTTAATTCAATTAAATTCAGTGAATCTAGGAAATCCGAATAGTGATCTAACAAATTTTACTTAAAATTTTAGCAAATAGGCTATTTGAATACAACACTATTGTATTCAAACACAGCGTACATGTTTAAATTTTTAAAATTTTTGATTGGAATCAATTGAAAATTAATTATTGTAAGTGAAAATGTCTCGTTTACGAATTTGTTAGAATTAACATATGTATAAAACTCAAATTTCAAAATATTTTCCCATGAACACATACATACGTAAAAGCGAAACAAGAAAGTACAAAATATCAAAACGATTTACTTAAGCATATTTTGGCGCTTATTTTATGGCATTTTGTTTTTTGATTTTAAGAGAAACTCGTTTATCACCTTTTTTTCACATTCTTTAATTTGATTTCCTTAAAGGGTGCAAAAACAATGTAAAAATCTAAGCCGTACTAGCCATCCATACCAATTGGAATATAACAAATTTATATCGCAGATTAATTTTGTTTTTGTTTTCTTCATATTTGCGAACCTATAAAAAAACAAAATTTTATTTTTTTTTTCTTGTACTTTTCTTTTATTGAATTTTAAATTTTGCCTTCTTTCAGAAAAAACTTTTTCTCTCTTTCTTAAGAATATTACAGGAGAACACACAAACCGCCTCAATTTGAATTCTTTCTACATAAGTCTACTTCAATGGAAAAATCATACAATATAAGAATGAGTATAATAAAATCGTAATTTAAACTTGTTATGCAAAATAGAACAAGAATTTTAAAATATGTAAAAACAAAAAAAAAAAGCGAAAATAAAAACCGTCACAAATAAATTTGACATAAGAATATGAAAAGATTCAATGATGGCGCATACAACTAAAACGATTTAAGTGGAGAAAACGCTAATGTTCGCAAAATCAAAAGATAAAGTCATTCAAATTCTGAAATTTTCCTTAGAAAACTTAAAATAAGAAGAATTAATAAAATTGATCGAAAGTATTTTAAATCTCATATGACCACTATAGGATAGATACGGTCTTGATCTATTATTTTAGGGGTGAGATTTTAAAATTTTGCGATTTTGTTTTCTTCATTCACAGAACATATTAACAATCTCCTGTTTTCCGCTTGCCATCTGGAAAAAATCAATCAGAAATTCGTTTGGGTTCCGCATTACCAACTTAAGCAAAGCATTTCAATACATCCAACAAATCAGTAATCAAATATTACTTAACTAATCAAATAGTACTCAAATGCTGTAGAGGTGTTTTTCAACTATAAAATTAGGCGAGATTGGGCCCGTGGGGCAGGGGAAGCGTGTTGGGGCTGGACGAGACATAAAATTAACATAGATTCCTCAATAGAACCGTCTGATTTAGATCTGCAACCGTACATTACCAATACATTATCACAAACGCATACAATTAAAATTATTCTAT